CCTCGCCGCGCGTCCCGCCCCGCGCCGCCCTCGCCGCCGCCGCCGTGCCCTTCCTGCCGCCGTGGTCACTGCTGGAGCAGAGGGGGCGCGTGGAAGCTCCAAAATAACCCGGCGGCGGGAGGGAGGGAGGGAGGGAGGCAGCGGGGGGGCGGCGGGGTTGCGTTTCGGGCCGCTGGCAGCTCTCCCACCGGGAGGAGGCCTGGCGGGCAGCGCAGCGTGTCCGTGCCCGCAGCCGCCGGGCAGCCTGCGCTGCTGCAGGTGCTGCTCCCGCGGGCACTGCCCTTGGCCTCGCCGAGCACGAGCCCTGGCGTTGGCCTTCCCGTACCGCCGGCCTTGTCTTCCCGTGAGGAGGAGTGCGGGAGCGTCGCTGCCGCCGCTGTGCCGCTCTGCCGGTGGGCATGTCGYGGCCTGTCGGGACATGTGGAGCCTCCACTGCCACAAACGGAGCTTGCCCCCTTGTGCAGCAGCAACKCCGTGTGAGAGGGGCCGCCAGCACCTCGTGCCTCACCCCTGGTGYGGGTGCAGCCCACAGCGGCAGCACGAGCTCCGAGGGGAAGGATTCATCGCGCCAGATATTGCGCTTGGGWCCACATACTTTGGGCACCTCTGCTGACTTTCCGCCTGAAAATTCAGGATTTGCATGCCAGGAAAGACCACCTGTCAACCCAGGCCACCGACATGCGCTGAAGTTCACACATATCACACCTTATGTTTTAGGGCTTATGGATAAGATTTTGAAGCAAAAGATCCTACTGGCCAAGACCATAACAGATGTCTTTGCAAGTGCTGCTGCAACCATGTGTGACCACTATGTGCTTCCACTGTTTTATTCTGTCATTAGTTAGAAAATACTTGAGGTTAACCATTTATGTGATACTAACAGCTATTACAGAGATAATTTAGTGCTAACTTAAAAGTTGCACTATTAATGGGAATAACCTGAAAGCTCCATCTGAATGTAAGTTTATTGCACTACCAACATGACAGGAAACATTTGCATCAAAGTTGAAAGTGATTTTATGTTCTGCTTGAACTTTTAACTACTTTAACCACTTCAGTTACCTCTTGCTGTGGCTGAAAAACAGGCACCTACCACRCAGCATGGTTCGCAGAGCATCTGTAATCAAATCCTTACCATGAGGAGCAATCCAGAGAGCTAAACAGAAAATACCAATATTGAGCCACTGGAAAGTGCCATGTCCCTGTATTTTGGGACTTTGGAGCTGTTTCCTCTAATCTTAGCATGCCAGAGTCCTTAGAGTGCTCCCAAAGATCAAAGATGTGGCATAAGAAAATGGATTTCAACCCTACACACAGAACAATTTTCCTTCTTGGCTATAGCAAGTAAAAAAAAAATATGCATTTCATCTTGTGAATGGAATCTGTGACCCTAATTCTTTACTTCCAATTTCTTTGAACATTCTTTTCTAAGTTTATTATTACWAGCTGAAAGAAACACTTCAAACAAAAAGTCATTTTCTGTCTAAATCAACAAGTTACTTTATGTGTCAGAAATGCAAACTCAAAGTGTTCTGCCTCATCGTGGAGTTCTCTGTCTTGCAGACATGCACATCACTTTCTCTGTAGCCTTTTGCCATCTTTCCTTAACCTGGTATACAAAAATAAATCATCAAAGTGCTTCTAGGACGTGCTTCATGTCACCAGGTGCACCTCACCTGAAACTTCAGAGGAGATGAGAGATGAACAGAAACAGCTTCATTTTGTGTGGTGACTACGTTTGTAACCAAAACCTTCCTTTTTGGGAGGGGTGAAAGCTCGTAGACAAGTGTCAGCCACCAGTCATGCTTTTGGAGTGTGTTATACAGAACTGATGAGGGGAGGAGGTGCACAGAGCTTAGAAACACTCAGTGAAGTCTRTCACAGACCTCCATTCTCATGGGGGAACCTGGGAGTCCTGGAACATCTCCTGGAAGCACAGCCAAATGCAGGCAGATGCAGAACATGATGRGGAGAGTGTCAAGGGTAACTTCTTGCCTCACAGTTGTTGGACTTGGCATCCAGGGGGGAGGCACAGGTAGATCTGATATTTGCTAAGAAAAAATGACTGCTTGACAATGTAGTAGTATCAGTGGCAGCCTTGGTTATAGTGACCAAGAACCAGTGGAGTTCAGGGTCAACGTCCCGAGGGGGACAAGGGAGACAGACGAGCAGCAGGGCCAAGATCCTGGACTTCAGGAGAGCAGATTTCAGCTTATTCAGGATACGGGCAGGTAGGATCCCAGGGGTTACAGCTCCATAGGGCAAAGCTGCTCAGGAAAGCAGGTTGACCTTTAAGGGTAATTTTTTCAGATCCACCCTGCTACTCAGGAAACCAAATAAATAGCCAATTAGGACCATTTTCAGGACCAAAATCAGAGACAGGCTACAAGACTTGAGAAACATCATCCAGGCATGTAAAGAGGGTGTCAGGTAAGCTCGTGCTTATCTGGTGTGAGACTCGCAAGGGATACCAAGGGCAGGGAGACCTTCTACTGTTACGTTAGTAGCAGAAGATGGAACGAAGAAAATGTGATCCCTTGCTGGATGTGGCAGGTGACTTAGTGATAGTGGTCAGAGGTGAGGCTGAGGTGCTTGCTGCCTTCTCCGTCATCACAAGCAAGGTCCTCCAGGTCTGTACTTAGTGACAGGGCTCGGGGCATAGGAAGCACCAGCAGGAATGGGGGCCGAGTCAGGAATTGCTCACCATCATTCAACCTGCAGGCGTCTCTGAGATCCAGTGGCTGGCAGACGAGGCTCCTGAGGGATCTCGCAATGTCCTTGCAAGGCCGTGTTACACATAGCTCTGAGAGGCTCTGGGTGCTAGGTTAGGTCCTCCGTGACTGGAGGTAGACAAGTGTTGCACTTGTCTTCAAAACAGGCCAAGTACCAACCTGAGGAAGTACAAGACAGTCAGCAACATTTTGGTCAGGGAGCAAATCATGTTGGAGCCCATGTTCTGGCACATGAGGGAGCAGACAGCATCAGGAACAGTCCCCATGGATTTAGCGAGGGTCAGTCATTTCTGCGCAACCAGATCATTTTCTGCAGTGAAACATTTGGCTTTGTATCCGCATGTGAGCGTCGCGGTGGGATYGTTGGAGAGGTGGCTGGATGGCCGGGTGCGGAGAGCAGCGCGTGGCGGCCAGCTGCCGTCAAGCTGGACCCTGCGTGTCCGTCCCAGCTCGTGTCACACGCAGCAGCGCTGAGGAGTGGAATGGGAAGGGGTGGACAAAGACGTGGAGAGAAATAGTGAGGACAAGGCCCAGAGAACCCCCCGCAGTGCCCTGCGGTGGAGGCTGCTGCTGCCTCCGTCCGCTGCGGCTGTGGAGCCCTGTGGGTCTGTCCCCACGGCTGAGCCTGCTCTGGGCAAGGGCAGCCTGGAGCCGCCTGCGCTCCCTGCAGCCCTCACTGTCCTGTGAAACTACCGGCCACGAGCCACGTGGCATGGAAATCAGCTGTGTGGGCCAAGCCTACACCATCCGGGATTACCGCCACTASCAGGGAATAAATGAATGAATAAAACACCACCAAAAGCAGCTTTCCTGGAAAACAAGCCATAGAAGTGAGAATTTAGTTGTATAACTATTCAGTACAAGAGAGGTCTATAAAAATATTCCTAGTGATGATACAAGCTCAAAAATAAACTAATTGTCAATGAAAACGTATTGACTGCATGAAAGAGTTGGCAGCTACAGTTCTGAGCATTTAATTGATCAACAGCAGCATCACAGGAATGAACAAAAGAATAACAGTCATGAGCTCCCAGTCTCCTTTTGTGCAAACTTTGGCTTTTGTATGAACAACAGCATCCTCCTTAGATAGTTTCCCTATCTCTGGAGCAGTGGCTGCAGCCACCCCTCGCTCACATGGAGAGTTGGGTTCTAGGAAGCATATAGAGAGAGACTGTTTTTAAGTGTGAAGGAGCCGCAGAAATGTTTGTGCAGTGCCTTGGATGGGGTGCCAAGGTAAAGATAAGGTATCTGTATAAATACAAATGCAGGAAAACAAAAAGACACTGTAGCAACAGTTATTATGCGTGTGCTCGTGCATATAGTCCTAGTGATGGCAAATACATGGAATATATGCTAGGTGGTAAAACCTCATACTGATGATGGTAAACCTCATATTGGTGATAAAAACACATAGCTGAGAAAAAAAGCAGAAAATGAAGAACTAAAATGATTGTTCCTGATGGAGAAAAAAAAGCAAGCTTATTGCTGCTCCTACAGTTGCAGCAAGTGAACTGATGAAACCTGAAGCTCACAAAAGCAGCGTCCTTTTTTCATTGCTATTTTTATACTGTGAAGTCATTTAAGGTTTATTCTGGGCTGTTCTCCTYTAGCATTCATTAACTGCTGCATTGTTGAGGTCCTCTCACTATGGCTTCTGTTGGCTTATGGCAAAATTAGTCACTTCAGTGTTATTCTTTTCTCCTTTCCTGTGTTTTTCTGAAGATTGAGGGCTTGCTCTAGCAGAGATTAATTTCTAATTTCTTTTCTAATGCAATCACTAGTAATAGCTCATGGCATTCACAGCGACTAGACTTGTTTATTATGTGAGTTGCTGACTCCAAGACATCACACTATGTAAAACTGAGTCAGCTTTTACAGTACTTTTTACAGAATTTGTTTTCTAGATTTCTACTTCATGGGTGTTTAGATAGCATTGACCTTTTAAAAATTGTAATGTGCCCCCTGGTTGTTCCTTTCCTTTTCACTTGGTCTTTAAGGCCCCGTCTATTTTTCAGAAATTACAAGATCTAAGCAAAGCTATAGAGTATGTTGGAGTTCGTGTGATTTTATGTTTTCAAATGTCTGAATAGGTAAGGAAAAAGACAGTGTTTTTTCTTTAACCCAGTACATACCCAGGTGTACATGAGTGAGCCATGGTAGCAGAGAACTTGTTGAAATGGTAGCTTTACAGTTAAGTGATTATTTTATATGACTCACAGTCATAAAAGAACAATCATTTTAATAATTTCCAGAAAGTTGAGATGCTGTCCTTAATGGACACACTTAAGTATCAGAAAAAATGTTAATGACCACCATGTTAAATTCAAAYAGTTTTGCTTCCCTTCCCTTGAAGAATATATCCTCAAGTTCTTTCAAATCTGTATGAAATATTTAAATACATGTTTGTGTACATTAAAATATCAGGAAAATATGAGCTGTCTTTAAAATTACACTGTAATTGTTAGTTTCCAGCATCATGCCTTCCCTGGGACTCTGCTGAGTGAGGAAAGCAGCAATGGAAACAAAAGGGTGCTGTATAATTAGTCCAGAAAAGCTGAGTCTGGCCTCAGGAAAACGTGATGCAGACAGAGCACGGTGATTTTGCAGCGCCACGTTCAGTAGCAGCATCACTGACATGCAGAGCACAGCCAGGATCAGCTCTTTAGTGCTTTAAGTCAGGCTCCTACTGGAGCAGGTTACTGGGCAGCGCAGATATATCGTAAATGACCCTCACTTCCAACGGAGACTGTCCTGATTCAAGAAACAAAGGGCAAGATCCATGCTCTAAAACAGTATCAAACCAGCTGTTCACTTTCTAGAACTTGCATACATCAGAACATCAGTTCTTAAAAGCACATCCTGCAGGTGAATTTTGCATACAACAAGTCATCCTACTGCAGTGCTACTGCAGTGTCTCTACCCTGAAGTTCATCCACTGTGATCTCCAGCCCGTTGCTGGATTACCCAYTTACTCTAAAATGAGCTAGACCTCAGTTACTACAATGGAGGCACCCTAAAAGAAAGCAAAAGAGCATGTTCTTGAGGTTCCAACAATTTAGGCATTACAGAATTAACTCTTATAGCTGCTATAATTCATTAGAATGCACTGAAGCTATGCAAAGGTCTTCCAGTGGAAGATGTCCCTGTGTTTGTCTATAATGAAATAAAATAAGGTCTTACTAATTACCAATAATAACAACTGTATTTGGCAGAATTCAGCTCGCAATGACTAAAATTGAACTATGCAGTTGTTAAAAGTAGAATCCAGTTTCCACTATCTGACCATGAGGCAGCAGTGTGCCCTGGTGGCCAAGAAGGCCAACGGGATCCTGGGGTGCATTAAGAAGAGCATCTCCAGCAGGTCGAGGGAAGTGATCATCCCCCTCTACTCAGCCCTGGTGAGGCCACATCTGGAGTACTGCGTCCAGTTCTGGGCTCCCCAGTACAAGAGGGATGTGGAGCTGCTGSAGAGAGTCCAGCGCAGGGCTACGAGGATGATCAGGGCCCTGGAACATCTGCCCTGTGAGCAAAGGCTGAGAGAGCTGGGTCTGTTCAGCCTGGAGAAGAGGAGGCTGAGGGGGGACCTGATCAGTGTCTATAAACACCTCAAGGGAGGCAGTGAGGAGGAGGGGGCGGCCTCTTTTCAGTGGTGGCCACTGACAGGACTAGAGGAAAGGGCCACAAGCTGAGGCACCAAAAGTTCCACAGGAACTTCAGGAAAAAAATTATTAACAGTGAGGGTGCCAGAGCCCTGGCACAGGCTGCCCAGGGAGGCTGTGGAGTCTCCTTCTCTGGAGATCTTCCAAACCCGCCTGGATGCTGCCCTGTGTCCCGTGCTCTGGGTGTCCCTGCTGCAGCAGGGGCTTGCACTAGATGATCTCTCTAGGTCCCTTCCAACCTCAGCCAGTCTATGATTCTTTGATTTTGAAAAGCAGGTTTAGCTGAATTTTGCTCAGTGTATTTTAATATCATTGAGACATTATAGGCCCTCGGAATCAAKTGCTGAAGTGAGCTTTTTAATCATGATTTACTATCATTTGTCAATCATCTTTCTAGCCCAAGTAAATGACTTGTGGAGCTGTGGAAAGATTTGAAATCTTCATCTGGATGCTGCAAATGGCACAGTTGAAGGACACATTTTCCAYGTACTCTTCTGCAGGTTTCATGGGAGAGGCAAAGACAGAGGGAGAGGGGCAGAAAAGGCAAAGCAGCATCTTGAACCTCAACACTGCTTCCATCCAGTACCAGCACACAAGGGGAAAACGGAACCACAGCTGACCAGAACAACAAAGAGCTGGGAAGATTAGAGGAATTAGAGGAATACTGTAATATTCTACAGTACCATGGACTTCTTTTTGAATGACTTTTCTAGCCATAAAAAAAAAAAAAATCAAGCTGAGATGAAATGCAAGACCTATTCTGCTGACACATGCTTAAAGCAAAGWTTGATCTGCACAGTCAAGGCAAAGGTTAAGCAAAGGTTATGGACCTAACAGCAAAAAATAACCTAGCTTGTTTGAGGAAAAACCTCTACATGTGTGTACTTATTATTTATGACTTATCTTCATATCTTCCTGATAATTATCCCAAAATTAACATGATCTTCCTGTCTCTAAAAGGCACTAGTTAAACAACTGCAGGTGGCACCAATACGCAGATTTTATGTCATGTAGKGAAAAAAAAGAATATTTAAAAAAGTCAGCAATCCAGCAATGCAATAACCTAATCGGTAGAGAGGTGGTGGTAGAGTCAAGCAGAACAGTAAAGCCATGTTTCTCTGAAATCACCAGTTTCCTGCCTTGAAAGATTTCTCATGTTCCTGTTCCCTTTTCAGTCTATCATTTTACTTTTGTCAGGCTTCAAATACTTTAAAGCAACTGGTGACATAAATGTATCCTTAAAAAAAAGAAAAAAAAGAAGTCTTTATATTCTGAGAATCCTTAGATTTTCCAGGTGGATTTTGGCTACATCAAAAGAGATAGGAACAGAACTTAAATACATTTTATTTGTACTTAGCTAGAGAAATTGCTTTTCTCTAGCTAAGTACAACTGGGCTAACTTGCTCTCAGTGCACTATTGGGAGTGCTTGTACTCTAAATTCCACACCCTGGGAATAAATGGGATTGAAATCCATTGGTAAAATTCCAGCCTACATCACATCTGAAGAAGTAATAAAGCAAACACAATACATTTGATTAAGCAAGTGCTTTTATTTGTTTTGTTTACTTGCTTTTCTTAATGGCAACAATGACATTAGACTACAAATAGCACAAAAGCAAATAGGACCAAACTGCTACCTTAGGTTGCTAAGCAGATTTTTGACTTCATTTAAGATAAGATACAAATTATAAGTTATCTAGTAAAAAAAAATAAATAAAATAGGACAAAAAAAAAAAAAGATCTATTTTGCCTTCAGCATTACAGGGTGGAAGAAGGAAAACAACATGTACTGACCTCTCAAAGACCAAAGTCTCCTCTGTGGCTGATCATAGAGATTTGGTTTCCCTCCGGGCTCAAATGGAGCAGGATATACTGGGAACATCCCGTAAATCCTCACCTCCTCCAACAGGAAAACATTCTTCTGCAGTTCAGCCACCCTTATTCTTCAGGAAGGGCAAAGCTGTTCACTCCTCCCCTTAAACTCCATCATTACTGTGAAGGAGCAGTAGGTTTTTTTTTCATTACATGGTACCTTAATAAATCCTCTGAGGAAAGGGAGCCAACAACTATCCCTAAAAACCTGACTAAGCAAAATAAAGTCAGGTAGTGTCAGAAGTGTTCTTAGATTCCAGACTCAGGAACAGTTTAGGAGAAATGGCTCAGTCCTTTGTCCCAGGTCAACACTCCCCTCCCTCTACTATCAACCCCCTGACCATTCCCCCTGCCATAAAGGAAAACAAACAAACAAACAAACAAAAAACAAATTATTGTCCCTCACTCCAAAACCAAAGAATGCAAACAGACTAGTTCCATGTCAAGTCTTAGTTTTGTGTTTCACCCACTCTTACAAACTTGCTCTGAAAGTTTGTTGCCTAATGTTGATAGAGTAAGCAAGTCGCTTTTTCAGGCAACACTAACCTTCAGTAGATGTTTTTTCTGTAAACTTGTGGAGAAAATGGAGGTTCTTAGCGTGCAATGAGGATTCTGTTTAAAATTACAGAACATAAATACATATTTTTCTATTGCTTCTTAATTAGGATGGCAGGGCTAAACACTCTTTAATCATAGAGACAAACGAAAAAAAAAAGAAAAAAGGTAATGAAACTCCTGAACTGCTCATGAAGTGAGAACAGTCCATGAACTGAATGCAGCCAGCATGCCTGGGGTTTTATCCTGAAGGTCATGACAATCCCACGTTTGTATCGTGGGATAAAGAACAGAAATTAATGATCTGCAAGAGAAGTACCTTACACTAAGTCCATATTCTGTGCTACTCTTCTTTTAAATCAGAATAATTTTAAATAGTTTTTTTAGAACAGGAAGCAGCATCAAAAATGAAGTTTACGAGTTAATTGAGTAGTAGGAGACATAACCCTGAAGTGAACGGTGTACCATGGTTAAACACACTCATGAAAACACCAGAGGTCTAGCAGGCTATTTGGTGTTGAAAGAACAGAAATGCTTGAGATTTGTTTAGAATATATTCTTTATTATTTTGTGGACTGTGTAAATTAATACATGATCAAATTTCTACTTTTTTTTTTTTTTAGTTTCAGCACATCCTGGTCTCTCCAATCCACTGAAGTGCACCTTTATCTTATACAGTCAGTATTTATGAAATATTGCATATGCACCTATGAACTTGTAAGACCAACATGAAAGGGAAATTTTAACCACAGAACTGATCAAAAGTTAGGTAAAACAATCACTCACTCTTTAGTGTGTTATGGCTTTGCACAAATATCAGATGTTAAAACAATCTATGATGCTTTTTATTAAAGGCACTTACTTCTTCAGATACTCCTTCAAATTTAACTATGTAGCATTAAAAAGCATATTACAGTCCGAAAAGGCAGTATTATAAAATGAAAAGAGTTTTTGCATTAAAATATGAAAATATCAAGAAATAACACAGACTTTAAAATAGGTTTTGGTCCTTTCAAAATAGGCAATTGCATTCAGGCAATAGTGATTTCTATTCCTAGATGCTTGTAAAATAATATCCCCAAAAATGAACTCTTCCAGTTCCAGCGCACGGATATGTCTAGGTCGGGCAGATCACCCTCTAACTATCCCCAACAAAGATACAGCTTTTCACAACTAACCAGCGCTCCGCTCGGGCCGTGCAGGAAGCGCGAGCGTGGCCGGCGCGCAGGCTACAGCTCTGTGTCCCTGTAGCGGGCCGGCTGTGCGTAGTAGCCCTTGCGGGAGTGCTCGCAGAGCTGCCGGCGGTATTCCTCCTCCTCCTCCTCGTCCTCCTCCGCGTCGCTGCCCGGCTTCTCCGCGTAGGGCCGGCCGGGGGGCTTCTGCGGCTCGGGAGGCCTGGAGCTGGAGGAGAGAGCAGAGCTTACCTCCCTTTGGACCTGTGAGCTCGCTCGGGCGCCGGGCATTGCCGGCAAGGCACGGAGAGCAGGCGGAGCACCCGCTGCGGCGCGGCCACCAGCGCCTGCTGCCGTACACACAGCACAAGGACCCAAACCCAACCCGGGGAGCCCGCCTGCAAGGCACCTGAACTCACAAACATGAAATGAAACACCCCACTCGAGAGCTTTGGAGGCAGTTCCTGAGCACAAAGAGGTTTTCGGGTATTGCTGCTACGCCAGTGGCGACCAAAGGTGACCCACACTTTCCTCATCCCCCTTTAAACACTGCATTCTTTACCAGCCTGCTTTCTCTTACACATCTGCAGTCTCCTGTCACTAGGCTTGCCCGGTCTGAAGGCTCCTTATGTGACACAGCTCTTAAATTGGTACCTTCTCTGCCCACTCAAGGCTGTCTAYAGCTGGGTGTACTTAAAGCTGGGCAGTGAAAACCCACACACATTTACTTTTTATATGCTGTAGTGCTATTCATTTAATGTGGCATGAAGCAGATACCTAAAAAAAGATCTACTGAGAAAAGGAAGGGCATTTCAGCAGCTTCAAGAATTATCATTTTTTCAGTTCCCATACTGTACAAAACAATGGTATTACTCAGGTCTTTCATAACTCCACAGTGCTTGAACACTCCTCACAGGTCAGTTGTTAATGTTCTACTAGAAAGACAATCTGTAAGTCACCAAATGGTCTCCATATATGGTTAAACAAGGCTTTTTACTACTTGCTACCCAGCCTCTAACACTATATTAAAAATTAGCATGCTTACTGTCATAAAGTTACCAAGAAAACCCTTAAATTATCCTTTTTTTGATTTCCACTTTTTCACTTTAGATTATATACYGTGACACCAAAGGAACTGATTCATTCCACTCCTCCTCCCTTCTCCTACAATAAATCTTATTTCCACCGGCTGTGACTAAGAGGAAAGGAAAAATAAGTTCTCCATTCTCCAGAGCAGAAAACAAGACTCATCATATGATGAATTGGCTCTTGCACAGGTGACCTATCCAAGTCATACAAATATTTGCTTTTTCAGGGTAACGTGATGCACTGGACAACCAATTCTAAACTTGTTGGAATTTAATGACAGAGCCTCTGGCTTTAATGAGACTCAGATTCAAAAGAACAGAGTTCTCTCCTCAGCTGTCCCTTGATGAGGGACCTCAGGCATGTCTTGTCCTCAGTTTCCCTACCCACATAATATATCTGTAACTGAATAATATTTTAAAGTAATTAAATTTTAAAATTTAAAGTCATTTTCAAGTAACAAAACAATGTAGCAAGAGGTGGCAGGATTATTTTTAGGAGTAGAAGCTGCCAAGATCCTCTTGCTGGTGAAGTAAGCAATCCAAGCAGAATGCTTTGCATTGGGTGCACCTTACCTTATGGGCTGGGGCCAGTTCTGGTCTGACTTCTGTGTTTTGACAGGAACAGCGTAAATWTCCGGGTGTTTCTGGGCTATCTCAAGCTTTAAAAGAGAGCATAAGAAAATAACTGTTCTTTTTTAAGTGTCTCCATCAGAAATCCTAGGCTGACTAAAGTAGGTCACGGCTACATCTGAAACAATAAGTGCTAACTGATCTTGCCTCTATCCTGCTGGAGTAGAATTCAAAACACATGTGAAAACAATGGACTGCCAGAAGCAATAGGGTATTTTTTTTAGAAGTCTGCTTGCTATAGCTACAATAGGAAGGCTTAACATATCCCTTATTTTTAAGATGCCGCAGTCCTCCCTCCCGAAGTACCACACTGCAAGGGCATGATTTTCACTCTCAGTGGGAAAGGGCAGCAAAGGGAGTGTGCATTGCTTCATACCCTGGCGTTCTGAGCCTCCTGTAGCTCCTGCATTCTTTGTATCCTTGCCTTATGATCCATCTCCTCAAATATTTTGACTTTCCTCAGTACGGATTTTGGAGTGTTTTCTTGTTCGCTTCCTTCCTCTTCCACCTTCTCCTCCTCCTCACTGGGTGGGGCTGCTGGCTGAGGGTTTCTCATGACAGGACGCCCAAAGACAGGTTTCATGGAAACAGGCGGTGGTACCGGTTTAGCTGAAACAGTCGGAGCCTCGCTGCTGACAGCCATGCTGCTTGGCTTGGAGTCATAGCCCTTGGGAAAATCATATACATCCTCTTTGCTTTGCAATTTCCCCTGTAAGTATGAAGCCCACAAAGTTTGTATCAGCAACTCCAGAGCCTCCAAATGAAGGCAAAATTGCTAACTTCAGACCCATATATTTAAAGTGTCTATCTTTATCCAAAGTAATATTTGAAAGGTATATGAATCACAGAATTATAGAATGCCCAAGGTTGGAAGGGACCTCAGAGGTCATCGAGTCCAACCCCCCTGCWCACGCAGGGTCACCTAGAGCACGTGGCACAGGGCTGCATCCAAGCGGSTTTTAAAGATCTCCARAGAAGGAGACTCCACAACCTCTCTGGGCAGCCTGTTCCAGTGCTTTGTCACCCTCACAGTGAAGAAATGCTTCCTTAAGTTCCTGTGGAACTTCCRATGCTTCARTTTGAAGCCATTTCCTCTAGTCCYATCSCTGYCCACCACTGAAAAGAGGCCGCCCCCTCCTCCTCACTGCCTCCCTTGAGGTATTTATACACRYTGATCAGGTCCCCCCTCAGCCTCCTCTTCTCCAGGCTGAACAGGCCCAGCTCYCTCAGCCTTTGCTCAYAGGGCAGATGWTCCAGGCCCCTGATCATCCTSGTAGCCCTGYGCTGGACTCTCTCCAGCAGCTCCACATCCCTCTTGTCCTGGGGAGCCCAGAACTGGACRCAGTCTCCAGATGTGGCCTCACCAGGGCTGAGTAGAGGGGGATGATCACYTCCCTYGACCTGCTGGAGASGCTYTTCTTAATGCAYCCCAGGRTCCYGTTKGCCTTCTTGGCCACCAGGGCACACTGCTGCCTCATGGTCAACTTGTCGTCCACCATGACACCCAGGTCCCTCTCTGCGGGACTGCTCTCCAGCAGGTCCACYCCTAATCTGTACTGGTGTCCAGGGTTATTSCTCCCCAAGTGCAGGACCCTGCACTTGCCCCTGTTGAACCTCATGAGGTTTCTCRCCGCCCAGTCCTCCAGTCTGTCCAGGTCCCTCTGGATGGCAGCACAGCCCYCAGGGCTATCAGCTACTCCACCCAGTTTGGTATCGTCGGCAAACTTGCTGAGGGAGCACTCCAGCCCTTCATCCAGGTCGTTAATGAATAAGTTGAACAGGACCGGACCGAGAACTGATCCCTGGGGGACACCACTAAGTACAGGCCTCCAGCTGGACTCCGCACCATTGACAACCACTCTCTGCACCCTGCCATCGAGCCAATTCCTAATCCACCTCCCCGTCCACACATCTATCCCACACCTTTGGAGCTTGCCCAGGAGGATGCTGTGAGGGACAGTGTCAAAAGCCTTGCTCAAATCCAGATAGACCACATCTACCGCTCTGCCCTCATCTATCCAGCTAGATATTCCTTCATAGAAGGTGATCAGGTTAGTCAAGCAGGATTTCCCCTTGGTGAATCCATGCTGGCTGAATCCATGCTGGCTGAATTACAACAACATTTTCTCCAGATAGTCATATGCTAAATCTGATGTGCACATCCAAGTGTAGAAGACTATCACACTTAGATGCATTTGTCCCACCCTTTCAACATTTCCAAAACTGCAGTACGGGAGACAGAACAGCTCAAATACAAGGTAACTCCCAGATGAAGAACAGATTTGTCAGTGCTACTGGATGTTGAGTATCACCACATGGAGCTTACAAGCGCACAGAACCCAAGCCTATTTCTAGCCCATCTTTATTTTATTTACATGTAGTCCTATTCTGCCCAAACCTAACTGCTGAAGCATATCTGAATATATTCTGAACAATTATGAATTGCAGAAAATAGAAGTTGGTTTCCAACTAACCCTAATCTTTTCCTGTTTCCTTCCCGAGCAAGGTTTGAATAGCTCTTTTTAACAAAGTCTACTGTTGGAGGCTGGTTTCAAAGACAACAGATTCTATTTTTGTACTTTGCAATGAGAGCCATCAGATTTTTTCTTCTGCTATAAAGTTTGTTTTTGCTATACTAAAAAGGTTCCTTTACAATTTTAACAAACACAGAAAGGAGTCTAATTCCTCCTTCTCTGTAGAGATGACACGTATTTGGGGAGAACTGTATTCCACACAACTTTCGCTCCATTGGACTCACTCTGCAACACATTGATTCATTCATTCTTTTTTTCTCTCCACAATGATTCTGTTTTCTAGTTCCTGATAATTCTTGGTGCTCTCTCTAATTTGAGAACCTGAAAGGTTCTCTCAACAGAGCTTTGCATTCAGATTTGTTTCTACAAGCCTACCTTAGGTGGCTCAGGCTTGAATGCTGGAGGAGGACTAGGATCTCTGAGGATCTCCCTGCTACCAGCCTTTCTCATCTGGGTTCTTGGTTCTGGGCTGGGTTTCTTTAAACTCTGTGAAAAGAAAATAAATTAGAGAGATAAATTAAGAGAGACAAATTCACTGCAGCATCCAGTAATTCAATCATTTTTCATCTGTTTTATGTTTACAATTTTGGGAACTGTAAACAGGAGTCAAATGCCTGAATACAATCACTGGAGAGCTAATTGCCACATTCAAGGCAACAAGACATCATCAGGAAACCAATACTTAGGCTGAAGAACAAAGCTATTATTACTTGCTTTTAACAAAGTACACCTTTAAACTCCTGTCAGAGCAAGGTAAGGCTGCAACTAAAATTCAGATAGTTGTCAGCAGCAATTGCAAGAGGCATCTTCCCCTTTTATTTTTAAACCATAGACACAAGGCTTTCTGAAATGCCAAGTGCAGTCTGGCTCAGAATCCAGGCATCTCACCTCCTCGTGATGTACAGGCTCCGAGGATCGGCTAACAGACGAAATCCGTGGTTCATCCAAGGGCTCATCAAGCTCATTGTCAGTATAGGCACCTCCTTCTCCATCTGTATCTTCTAGGTCACTGACCAGTCTGCTGTCACAACTCAAGTAGTCAGCACCCATTGCAGTAAGGTAAGACATGCGATCATCAGCATCATCTTCCATACCATCCAGCTGCAGAGATACAGGCAAGAATTTAGAAAAGAAATTTAGAAAAGAAATTTAGAAAAGAAATTTAGAAAAGAAAAAGTTAAAGGTTAAAGAATTAATAATTAGAGTCTACCTAGGTCTTAATATCATGCTAAAGAACTTAAGCAATGAGCTTGCAGAACTGAAACTCTACTCCAGTATAAAAACAGAAAGTCCTGTAGTCCTTGCCATATTCTCCCCTAGCCACAGCATTACTGATGAAAGCTCCAGAGTACAAYAGAAAGAACAACAACACATCAGTTTTGGTTACCAAGAAAGACATAGAGTAGCTACTTGTCCAAGCTATCCATCACAGACAAAAAAAACACCTTTGAGCAGTTATTACTGGTAGGAGATGATATTCAGACACCTGCACAGTTTAATACATACAAAATGGACTGATTCCTACCTTTCCTTCTGACACCCACACTGTTTCACCTTGCTGCTGCTGAATTGTGTCTTTCAGACTTCCATACCAGCTATCATTAGCTGAGTTCAAATTGATGGTGGCTGTAAAAAGTGAAAGACAAAGTAAACCTATGCAGCAAATGCAATACAATCCTTTTTGCAGTCTCTTTTTTGTTTGTTTTGGTAATGTGATAAAAATCCATTTCATTTAAAGTGCTAACAAAAGCACAGTATTTCTGTTTGTATTGGTTTTTGTTTTTCCTATTCCCAAAGCCTGTTAGATCACTTATTCACCATCTTTTAATGACAATATATTCAGTCCCAGCCTCTCGGACATTAAAACATGGCAGAACATGGAACTTAGAAAAGAAGCAGGGCAGAGATTACTCATGACTGTTGCCTTCACACCCCTTTATTTATATCCTACATATGATTTAATTTACAGGCAGCAAGTTTCAAGACTTATATATTGACATCCACAGTTCTCACAGTGTTCAGCCAGCTGGACACACCTTCTTCCTTACCTGTAAAGAGGTGGGGGCAAGTTTTCTTCAGTTTGTTTGCTTGCTCATAAAGCTTTCTAGAGCTCTTGTTAGACGTGGGACACAGCCTTTGTCTCATGGTTTTCACACCCTGTTTGCTGTCTGGGTTAAAGAAGACTACAATGGGAAACCACTGGGTGTAATTTAGCAGATCCACTGCTTTAGGAGTCACATCCAACAAAGCATGTTTATCCTGTTAACAAGAAAGCTCACATCAGTACTCTTCCTCCAGAAGGCAAGAGAGGGTGATGAGATGCAGASGGAATATGGCAGCCTAGGAAAAATTAGGGTGTTTTCTTCCAAGTAAGGCCATAATGAGTTGGATTTTTTTTCACAGCGATATTCCATTCAGGAAGCACAGCAGGCATTTTCTTTTTTTACTTTCAGATCTAATTTTCTGAATGGCTTTGGTCTGAATGCCCACATTTCTGTATTAATAAAATAGCTCATGTTAATTAAAGTATACCCATTCCTCACCCTTGTCCTTTAAGTAGGAGGTGGAAGTTAAATAACCTCTTTCTGCACGTGTCCTTACCGCAGCTTCCACTGGCACAGTTGTTCTGTGGTGCCATCTGTGAACTTTTGTCTGCACTAATAGCTTGCTTCTGAGCTACCTATTGTGCCAAGACAGATGAGATCCTCCAGCATGTGCTCCAGGGAGTCCTCCTCACTTAACTGAGCTTTTTTTGTTTTGGGAGTTTCTTGATTTTACAGCTATTTACTGATCTCTAAACAGTATTTTTAAAAGCATTTAAGATAATATTTCAGATAATATTAAGATAAAACAGTCACAAGAAAAAAAAAACAGAAACTAACGACAATAAATAAACAAAAAAACTTAGTTATAACAGTCATTCCCCATTCAGTGAATACTGTAATAAAGTGAAAAAAATTAAAACATTAACTTTTTGATGCCACTATGAGCAGGCAGAGCACTGAAAGATGGTAAGAGCTACCATGGCAAATTCAGAAAGTATGCAATAATAAAAACTGTTGTTCAACACATTTCAGAGCAGCCTCATCTTTAAACCACATCTGCTTAGCATAAAAATAAATAGAGGGAATATCTGAGGACATTCCAAGTTTTAGAAGGAAACTAAATAACAATACAATACAATACAATAATATGCATTCAAATGCAAGCAGTTTTCACAGAGCCATACTCTACCTGCTCAATGATTTGCCTCACGGTGTTCAAGCGCACAACTCCAGTCGACCTCTCCGAACCTGCATCTCTGGGTTCTGTCTCTGCAAAGACAACACCTCATCTTACCCAGAGTAGCTGTGAGGATGTGATACTCAAATTACCCATCCTCCCATTGAAAGATACTAAATACRCTGTGTTAAAAAGAGGACTTACTTGCAGTTTGGTACAAGTGAGGCAGGTCATTTGACAACTTCTCCATAGCTACATCTGCAATAGGGCCAAATATCACCACAGGTCTCTTAAAACCAGCTGAAAGAAAAACAGTTAAAGCTGGTGTTATCAGGCTGGTTTTATGCATAGATGTAAAAAGCCCCAATTACCATAATGCTACCCAATGCTGTGGGTAGTTTAAGATATTCAGAAAAAAACCACATTTGACAAAAAATTATTTCCTGGAAGCTTGTACAAGAGCCTATCTGTTTTTCATACAGAAAGCTATCTTTACCAGCASGGAAAAGTGCAAAGGATTTTTTAATTAAGGAAATGGGGAAGGACAGAAAATAGATGAGCCCTCATRCTCCTTTTAATGATGATGGGCTAAAAAGATTCTACATTCTGAAAATATACAGCATATCTTCAGAGTAGTCTTCCCATCCAGCCAAATAGGCTTAAAACTGTGGAATTTGTGTGAATAAAGYTACAAAAGCTTAACTATTTAAGGATGGCCTGCAGAAACAAAAAAAATGTACATTTTGTACTGTCTGTCAAAACAGGTGCAATCACAGCCCTCYCTTAAGTCAACAGGCAAGGCCACTCCATTGCTCAGTCTTTATCCTGGAATTTGGGAGCTCCTTGAAAATACTTATAATTTCTTTTCTTCCACACTACTGACACATGCCTATGCACGGGAAATTATTTTGACCTGCCCAACATGACTAGTACTAAAGCTAATTCAGAAYTACAGAAATGACAGAGAGGATAATGTAATTGGACAGTCTACTGAAGCTACTTGGACTTTATTTTCTCTGAAGATATTGTAAAATTTTGTTTATGAGCAAGCTAATGTCTCATGTATATGAGCGTATTTAGCCTAGGGGAGACTGAAGAAAGCATAAAACCTTTTGTATTTTTCCTTTTTCATTTTAAATTCTGAAGCTAACATATAATTTGAAGGCCAAGGACAGCAATATGTATGCTGCTGAAGTTGTTTAAAATGACCAAAAGCTTTCTTCTAGTTGTTAATAACATCCAGAAATTCACAGCCTAATAAAAACATAATTTCTTTCTGTTGTTCAGATTTAACCCTGAAGCTGAAGGTGTTTGAAAGCATCTACTTAGCCAATCAAACATTTGGGCACTAACACAAAAAGCAATAAACAGACATCAGGTTCTCACCATCTGACTTACCCTCACGCAGCTGAACTCTCTCGTAAGCTGGGAATTTTGTGCTCACAGATGCAAGAGCTGTCAGGTCTTCCCGACTCTTCCTCAGGTTCTTCTTCCCTCCGGATCGCTGGCCGCGTGTTCTCCAGAAGTCTGCCCTGTCACTCGAGCCATCCTTCTGGGCATTCTGAACACTAGCCATCTGCTCAGCCCTGACAGAGAAAACACCAAGTTCATTTGCACAGAGCTAGTCAAAAGCGGGCAGAAAGTCTCCCTCCAAAGTTCCATGAATTCACAACAGGTTAAGTTGGCAGGAAGATAGCCAGGTGACGAGAAAAAAGAAGAGACATCTGAGCAATCCTTGAAACAAAGTCAGCACGATGCCCTGGCTCACCACAGCCCCAAGACTGACAGGCAGGAATCAGTCCAAGCCCTTAAACTGCTAATAAAAGCACAAATAAACCCCAGCTGCATAAACGTGGTGAGAGAGCGCAACTCAGACCTTAGGAACTAAGAACTTGCTCCCATCCTCCTTTCCATTGGGCTTCTTAAGACAAGTCACTGTTGCTTACAAAGAAAGGTCTCTTGAGTCAAATTAGTATAAAAGTGAGGACACAATGCACTAACTAACGCAGTACAGGTGGGAGGMTGGGAGGCTGGCAGGAAATCATTTCAGAAGCATATTTCAGGAACTTGTGTACAATGCAAWTGAGAGATTTTTGTTTAAAGCATGATCTCACTTAAAAGCTACAGTCTAAAAATACCTTTATTAATTTATTTTTGGCTGATGAATTTCAATATGCACTCTTTCAATCTGTTTATCATAAACTTACAGTACCATAAACTTACAGTGAAGTTAATTACAGTAACTTACATTTTTAGTCTTTGACTCTTTTAGTCAGTGCTAATGTATATAAGCAAAAAAAATTTGCTTTTATTTACTGCACATATAACAAAGAAATAAGGACTATGGGAACCAAGAAATGTTAGCATTAAAAAAAAAACAAAAAACCCTCTTAAAATATTTTCCCTAGAGTATACATAAGAGTATACTCTTGGAAATACTAGAAGCTCTCTAAACATTGATCGGCWGAAGACTCATACATAGTAGTGAACTTGCTGGATTTTTTTAAACTGTTTTCAGGAAATAAAGTCCTCCTATCCCATCTTATAGAAGAGGAAACTGGAGCAGCCAGTTGTCAAAGCTGAGCTGATAGCTAAATGAGGAGCTCTGCCTCTGTGTATGCAATTCAGTGCACAGGTAACACCATCTTTGCTCATCCACTCCTTACATAGCGCCAGGTTTCTAAAATCTACAGTTTTACGGGCACAATTGTTTTGAGAGTCATGAAACATCCTGAAGACATTTTTTTCATTCCCATAGGGAGGAAAAAGAAAGAAAATTTATATGAGATAAGAAGCAAGAACTATTCAGAAAAAAAAGCAGAAGATAGGAGGCCAACTTACCTGCTCTTGTTTGGAATGAGACCTTTCTCCAGTTCATTTCCAATTCTCACTGCCAGCCAGTTTCCCAGTTTGCCATCATACAGTGTATCAACTACTCTGAAGATCTCCCCTCTGGTGAATGCTAAGCTCTGTGGTGACTCTTTTTCACACTCAAAATGGCTCCTGATGAAGAATGAATCTCCTCTGCCACAGGCCATGATGTCTCTGTAGACTAAAAGAGGAACTGCTATTTAGTTTTTCTTTTTTTTTTGTCTGTTTGTTTGAAGCCATTTATCTGGATTGCAATGTACATGCTGCTGAACATGATGCATTATTTTGCCCAATTTTAGGCTTAGTTTCTTAAGTAATTTACACTTGAAAGAAAAGGATTAAGCTATCATTCTATCAAAGAGTTTTGAAACTTTTCCCCTTCATTCAAGAGATTCTTGTCAGTACAAGAATATTCTATATTCATATGCAAACAGTTCTTATAGCTGAGGCAGGCAAATGCTTTCATCYGGATGGCCAAAGCAGAGGGCAGCCCTGGTACCTCAGTATTACAGAAGGCTGCATCTTTAAAGAAGAAAGCACAAGGCTTTTGTCTATCCATTCCTCAATGAAACGGTCCTATTGCCAGATAGGATCTGACTGTGAATCCACTGTGACTGCCAAGGCGCAGGAGAGAGGGGATGCAAACATGAGATCTCACGCATCCAAAGGCTGAAGAGTGAAAAGCAGATGTGATAAGCACTAAGCTGCCACTCTTTAGGAATAAGAAATACTGTTTGGTGAATATGAAAATAGTGGAGACATGCTCTGATAAATACACTCCATGAGTACAACTCCACAACCCTTGTGAAGGTTTTATAAACTACTGAAAAAAGAGGGCAATAAAAAAGTTATCAAAAGAGATCATTTGTTGTTTCAGTGACAAAACAGTGACGTTTAGGCTTCATGGCTTCATGGACACATGCATAYTCAGTTCAAAACACCTACCTTCATATTTGCTCTGGGCCAGTATGGTCACTGTTTCACCTTTGGGAATTTCCAGCAGGTACAAAACAGCATCTTCCCGCACAATGCCTCTGAAGTCTTGAGTGTTTACCTGATGTACAAAAAAGTCAATGATAAAAGGAATATCCAAAGACTTTTATGGTATATTGAAAAAGCCTTAATATTTTCTTTTTACTGTGCATTTTTTTCTTAAACTCAAAATAGAAGCTTGTTGCACAAAGAAATATTTTAATCTACCCATTAATAGCATCCTTCTGGAAATGGGTGCTGATATACCCTCTTGGAAGGAGTAAAATACATCTAAATATGGAAAGTGATACAAAGTATGAAAAGATCTATTTGAAGGTATGAATATGGCTATTTCTGCACTTAACAGAGTATTAGCACTGTAGTCCTACCTACTCAACAGTGTCTGCCTCCAAATGTGTAGATGTCACCCTGTTGTTTGTAAAGCTCAGGACAATGTTGTAATCCTGTTTCAGCATCACCATTCTTTCAGATACACACAAGTATATTCAGGCACTCGGTGATGTTCGTCTCTCATTCTCCTGCCAATGCCCATTGTTACTTTCATTGGATAGAGAAGTGGCTGCCACTGCTTATTAGGCAAGTTAAATCCAATAAAATCCAATCTGCTTCCATGCAGCAAGAACAGACAGAAAGAATCAGGTTCTGAAGACCACCAACTTTTCCAAACCCTGTTGAGAATGGTATCTTGGATACAGAAGTAGGGGCTTGAACTAACCTTCACTGTAAATCAGCAGAAATACTTTAAATGGCTTCTAAAGGCCACAAAAATCAAGACTACCACAAGAGAAAATAAATAAAAGAAGGCAAAAGAAGGCAAAAGAAGGCAAAAGAAGGCAAAAGAAGGCAAAAGAAGGCAAAAGAAGGCAAAAGAAGGCAAAACAATCAGTCCTATCTGAATTTTGGGAAAAAAAAAAAAAAAGAAAAGGAACATAAAATGACAAAAAGGGCTAGAGAAAATAATTTGGGAAGCAGAAATAGAAATCAGCTACCCATGCAAATGTAAGAAAGATTAAGAAAATTTAAGATTTAAAGAAAAAGAAAAATATGCTGATTTTAATTTCTACTCCCAGCCTTCCCTCGAGCAAGAGGAACAACATTATAAACTCTAATTTCAGTATGATTCTCCCTACCATACTTACATATATATGTATGTATGTATATACATACTTCAGAACCAACATCTTGACTTTCTAAGAACATATTTTCCCCCTACTTCCATTAAGAAGCAAATAAAAGAATAAAAAAGTGGTTTGAACTTCAGGTACACGTGTTTATACTGGTACCTTAAGAATCTGGTCTCCTTCCTGCAATCCTTCCTCATCAGCTGAAGTGCCTTCTTGAATTCCAGCAATAAATATCCCCACATCATTTCCACCAGCCAGTCGTAGACCTACACTGTCCCCTTTCTTGAATTTCACCATCTTTGTATTAGGACTTCACAATTCAGGAGCAGGAAAAGAAATTCAGGACAGACATTAGCACATGAGAGTGACAGGTCTTCAAAGCAAAAAACCACAACCTTCCCAACAAAATTATCCAATATTCTTTCTCTCAAGAGATGCATTCTATTTCAATACTTCTGTAAGGTAAGAAGACACAATATTTGCATTTTTTTCAGAGGGGACACTGAACTGGAAAGGTAGACTGAGTAATAACAAGATGATCAATCCTGGTTCTCGAGGTCTTCAGACCATATCCTACATATTTATGGGTCTTTTTCAAAGTAGCTGAGTTATAACTAACGTTGCTCATTGTTTTTTCCATATACACTTGAAAACTACCATGTAAATTGAACTTACACATATTTTCTTTGCAATTGAATTAATATGTTTGTCAGACTACAGGAAAAGCCTTCAGGTTCCTTGTAATGAGAAATATGCTCAAGAACACTCTACTGATACAGTGACAATCGTATCTTTCATATTCCAAGGAGGGAGAGATTATTGGACTGGGATCAACTTTTTTTTACTGCCAAAAACGCTGTATGCCTGAGTGACCTTCCAACACAGAGGATAGTACTGATCTGTTAGCCTTTACTCAGTAATACTATAAGCCTATATTATAAATTCTCCTTCACCAAAATAACCACTTGATTAATTTGTGTATCAGTAACAACATATGCAGGGTCCTTCCAGAGAAGATTCGAGAATATAATCCAGTTGAGAGAGAGAAAAAATAATATCAGTAAAAAAGAAGACACATAATCTCTTCTTGGCATTAAACTATGAAAGATATATCACTCATAATGGCCTAGGAAGAAATAAACCAGTCCAATCGTGAACAAACCACAAGTGGTTAGAACACTCCAAGCACAGCAAAATCCTCCTTACCCATATATTGCTTCATCCTCAGGACTGGGCCTAAGAATCGTTCTTGCAGCTGGTTTTGGTTGAGAAACTGCAGGTAAGAAAAGATAACAGCAGATACTAAAGCAAAAGTTTAAAAAAAAATGAAAGGCTGCATTTTTAGTTATCAGATGGTAATTAAATACCTCCATGCCAAAGATAAAAGCAGATTTAAAAGTCTAAGCTTCTCTTTGGCTAGAATTCTACTTAATATCCCTTCTTTTCTCTTAAAAATAGCAAGAGATCCAATGGAGGAACAGACAATTCTTTCAATCAACCCACCCCAGACTGCAGTAAGAGTTTCATTTGGCTGTCTAGGTGAGCAGTTAAGTTCTTGCTGTTATGTTGAAATTCCAGTAAGCAAGAGGCTTCTGGTAATCTCAGGTGCCTTTCTGAGGCACAGAAGACAGATAGACCCCTTTCAGCAGCAGAATGGGGTTAATAATGTGAGACACATGCACATGGCTAGGGGGATATACTCTGTGAAAAATAGCTCTTAAATGAAAGTTTCAACTCTGACCTGGTGCATCATCTTGGTATTTTGGTTCTTTGCTTGTGTCTGCAACTGTGACATTAGTAGTTATGTCACTGGTTGATTTAAATGGTGTAGGCATTGCTCCCATTCTTGACATCCTGCTGGATGGATCATCTTTTGCACTAAAGAAGAAAATTAGTTCAATTAAATGAGAAAGGAATGGTGTATTTTAAGCTGTGTTTGATAGGCTTGCTAAGCTTAGGTCTAGATAATAAGCCAAGGTCCAGAAAAGAACGTTTCTTACCTTGGCTTCTCTTTTAGTTTTTCATTAGATGAATGTGACTCTAGATCAGAGTGATGTAATCTGTCATCTTGAGGGGAGAACGATCGGTTTGACTCTATTTCAGAAATATCTATAAAGAGAGTGAGAACAGAAGAAACGAAGAATTTGTTTGTATAACCAGCAGATCTAATCACCACATTTTTATTTACTATGCTTTCACATATTTATATGCAGAACCTTCAAACCTATTTCCCTTTGAAATAAAAGTGTTGTCATACACACCGCATCTTGGACTCTCACTAAGTAATGCTAACAACCTTTCTGTTTAAGCTCTCACTGGAACTATCCAAAAGAAAATGATCTTCACACTAGATTTTCACATCCTTACACTATTGCTACAGTAATGGAGGGCCAATTTGCACTGAAATAATGAATCATACATATCAATCAGACTTTAAAGCACAACAGGAAAAGCTAACAACTTCCCACTTRCAACCTCTCATCTTAAATCTAGTGAGTGTGTGAGTGTGCAATTAGTTGGTGCATTAGTTCTTCAGGGAGAAAAATAAACAAACAAACAAACAAAAAACAAAATACCCCTCAAATTTAAATGTCTTTTATTTATATCCTTAGATAAAATCAGCAAAAAGTTGCAACAGCATTCTAAAATTAGAGAAAAGGACATCTTGTATCAATTAACGTAACATCCTGATTCCACAAACATCCTGCATCCTTCTAAAAGCAAGATTATGTAGTGAGATCCAGCTGATACCCGGTGAGAGTTCATTCGTATGAAACAGATACTGGAAATGGAAACAAGTTGTCTAGACGGACTTCATTTCCTCTTGTCCTGGCAATTTTCCCCTCCCCATCGAATGCTGTAATGAATGTTAATGTCCTCAGAAGGAGAGAAGAGAACAGTCTATTCCACTCTGTTTTGTAATTCAAGCTTCGTATTAAAGCAACTGAGTTTCCTGTTATGAGAAGTAGGCCACTTTTGTCTGATCAACATTGCTTCTTCCATATCCTCCTCCAAAAATTTTTAATCACATGATCACTGCAAAAYGGTGCATAAATCTTCTTTCACTTAAAAGAAAAGAGCTTGCTTTTATTTTGACTATTATTTAGGTTTAGATTTGTTTTATTCTGTTTTCCCCCAGAGAACCTAACATGATTATACTCTAGCACAATGCTCTATGTTTTAAGTTCCATTTCRCCTTTTATCCACATTAAACCTCACCGTCCATTTCTGAGTCACTGTCATTCAGCGAAGGAATGTTGAGCAGTGTCTGCTTCCTGTCCCTAAGGACAACCAGCTGGAGTTTCCCACGTGACTTCTCAATCAATTTTCGGGCATCAGCTAAAGACATGTTCTCAGTCACTGTACCATTGATCTGGACACATAAAAGCAACAGTGTTACAAGCAAGCAAATAAATTGCACTCAGTTTCAACAGYTACTGCAGTGATAAGCATGACATCTCAGATAGACCATTTTCTAAGGTGACTGCTGTGCTAATCTGACTGTTTAACCAGAACACACCTTGAGAATGATATCCCCTTCGTGGAGGTTGCCATCTTTGGTTGCTAGCCCACTATTGGTCATTTCTTTTATGAAGATCTGACTTCCAAGCCGCAGACCATATTCTGTAATTAGAGAAATAATTCACTATAGTTTAGAAGAGCAAGTAAAGATGCATTTTTAAAAACTATACTGTGTACATGCAGCACACCTCATATACTATTAGAGAAAAACATAACAAAATGAACAGAAAAAAGAAACAGAGACCCAGTAAACTCACTTAACAGGCTAAATCTCCCATTTCTGTGCTGTCACGGTGGTAAGAACAAGTAGTGGTCTGGGAACAGTGAAGGACAGAATATTTGCCTGAACTTGCAAAGGCCAAAGAATGTTTTCATCTAGATGTGCTTATTAAGGCAATGTCTTCTGATCATATTTTGTATGGTAGAGAACAACATGGGGAAGGATGAAAACGTGGGGTTTTTTTCCACCATCTGCTCCATGCTAGCCCTGTTCTATCCGTGTCCCAGTAAGCACCTCAGTTGTTTCAGGCAACAGGAAAAAAAAAAAAGTGGAGTATTTGGATCAGCACCAATATTACTTAAAAAAAAAGGTTAACACTGGTTTTCAAACAAACATGGCCTAGAGCAGCCAAAGAAAAAGAAAATAAACACTGATACCAAAGATCCAACACTTCCAAAATCTCAGCCATTGAGAGAGACTGCAGAAAACCCAGATGGACGGCAATTGTTGTGGACTTACTAGCCACATATAAAACTTCTTAACAAAGCCACCTTAAATTCTCTTTACTACTTTACGCTTATAAAGTAATCTGCATCATCTTAACGAACAGAAGCACTACATGTAGGAGAAGAAAAGGAAGAAAGAGATCCTTGCCAGGGTCAATGAAAAGAGATTTTCTGAATTCAAAGTGGGCAGAAAATCCTTATGGATCAAAACAGAGTGCATTTAAAAGCCCAAGAAGAAAGGGCAGACACATCCCAAAGTTGAATGCTCTCTGCATTTCATGGCACATTAAGGACCCTGCCTCTAGCCTCCACCTGCACATACTCTTTAACAGTCAGCAAGGGCAGGCACTTCAGCTGTGGCTTTTTTGGTATTCCTTACATGTATCCTGAAGTGTTCAGAATCAAACAATACCTGAAGGCAAGAAGCCATTCCAGTGTAACAAAATTAAGCCCACTACAGAATCACTATCCCACAGAACCATGATCAGCTCTGGGTTTTCCACCAGAAACAGAAGGATAGGYACAAAGAAATGGAGCGTTCAAGGACAGAGCAGCTCAGAAGCAGTGAAATCCTATAGATGAACAGAGTTCTTTGTTCACATTTAAGGCCATGTAGAAAGCACCCAAACATGACCAGGGAAAACAAATGAAGGACTTTAGTTACCAGGTAGGTAGCTGTAAAAGCAGTGAATATCCAGYTCCCCTCCATGCTCCCACCAGAATAACATATGCTGTATCACAAAATCAGTGCTGTCACACCTACCTTCATTATGTTTGCCTTTTGTTAGCAGAACGCTGATGGGTCCCTCCTGATCCTGAGCTCCCAGGTATTCATGCGGGTGCCGTGCTTCCGGGGATGGGCTTCGGGAATAAAGCTTGTCCCGGCTCCGGCTCCTCACTTCCCGCCTGTACCTGGCATCCGCGTGGGACCCGTGACCGTAGCGGGGCGGGCTGTAGTCCCCTCGGTGGTCCYGTTCGTAGCCGCCGTCCCTGTCGATGCTCCTGCCCCTGCTCTGGTCTCTTCTGTACTCGCGGTCCAGGCTCCTGTCGATGCTCCTGCCGCGACTCCCGTCTCGGCTGTAGCTGCACTCCCTGCTGTGGTCTCTGCTGCGGTTGCGCCCTCTGTCCTGCTCAGCCCTGTAGCTCTGGTCCAGGTTGTTCCCCCAGCTTTGGCTGCGCCCGCCGTTCCCGCTGTGCCAGCTCCTGTCGCTGTAGCCGCTCCGAGCGCTTCTGCCGTCAAACTCTGCGGGATCATCCATCACATCCAAAGCTCTGTCCTCGTAGTCAAGCGAGGGGCTTCTCCTCAAAGGGGCAGCCGGGACCTTGCGTGGCCTTTTCACTACCTGTCCAATGCAACAGGAAACAAACAAAAATAAAAATAACCACTTGAATGTGAAATGCAATCTTCACATTTCCAATGGAAGGGCAGAKACCCAAATCCCAAGTCACTTCACAGCTGCACTTCTTACAATGTAAACTAAAAGGTTTACAGGACAACCGGTAAAGGGGATTATTAAAGATTGCAGAAGAAACTTGAAATCATTGGAAGGATAAGGAGGAGAAGGATATTACCAACCAGATCAGCAACAGCACACTATTACAACAGTTTGCTGCAACAGATGGAGTAACAAATGCAGGTTTTCCTGGTTTAAGGAAAGTTTTGGGGAGTATGTCAGCCCCTCTTCCCAGGCTTTACTCGCCTCCCAAAGTTCTGTATGCCTCCTAATTGAGGAAAGCCAATCTAAGCAACAAATTCTTGGACCAGTTCTGGTCCTGTAACTTATCATCTGTTTCATGGAACTTTTCTTTTGTTTCCAACTGCAGTTCACTCTTGGTTAATTTAAAAGTTGGGGACAATTTTTTTTTTTTTCCAGAAAATAATTTTCTGATACTATCACTTAATTGTCAGTTGCTTCTGTGTTAAAACAAAACAAAAACAAAAAACAACCAAACAAAAACCCTGCAGGTCTTCACTCATCATTTATTTAGTTTGTATGTTCTGTTGGGAAAAGACTTGCAGTGCCTTATGCAATAACAGTACACTTCACAGAAGAAAACCACAGCCTCAATTAGTTATGAATATACCACATCAGACAGCAAATGCATTTGTAATTTACTTACAATGGTGGCCACTTTTCCACTTTTTCTAAGCTGTTGGACTGCAAAAGAATGTTGAACATTTTCCATGGGGGTCCCGTTAACAATGACCACTCGGTCATTTTCTCTGAAAAAATGGAGGGGAAAAAAGATTTTAGGAGAGTCTTACTGAAAGTACATTTCTTAGGAGAGTCTTCCTGAAAGCACATTTCTTTGCACATCACAGGGAAGCACTGAAATGGCACACTTTTCTGAAAGAGTGGTGTTTGGGCCACATCTGCTCTGGAAGACAGTTGATCAAAAAAATGTTGCTTTTCACCAAGTCTGCCCGTCCCTAAAACACAGGCCAGAAGAGGCTGCGGGCTCCTCACTTCAGGTCTCCTGCATGTTAAGTGACCTCCATCATCCCAGGAGACAGCCCCATATCACATGCTTAGCACGTGCTCAATTAAAAACTGTTACTACCAATAAGGTATCTTACACCAGTAAGCTCAAAAATGGCAAGGGATTTAAAGAATAAACAAACAACAAGTGCCAGTTTTGTTACTGGTTTATTCCAGTGATTACTCAGTTATTAACCTTACAGTGAAAGCATTAGTTTGAATTTAAATTTGCCTGGCTTCAGCAGGCAATCGCCCCCTGCCTTGCCTTTTTTTTTCTGCTAGATAAAAGAACTCTTTAGTATCCGTTATCTTCTCTTCACTGTAGTCAAGTCGCCTCACAATCTTCTTATTTAAAAAGAAGATTACATGCTTTAAGTCTCTCTCTGTAAGGCATTTTCTCTAACTCCTGAGTAATTTTGGGGCCTCCTTTCGTACCTCTCCAGACACTTTTACTGAATGACTTTGCCACAGGACAGCACACTATATACCACTATCAGTTTCATCTGGGCTTTATATAGAGATAAAAAATAACTTTACTCCTGGTTCATACATCCAAAAATGGCACTAAACTTAACACTACAGCACTACACTAAGTGCTCATATTGACTTATGGTCTATCCTAAACAGCTGTTCAAGGACTGAAGGATTGTAAAAAATACTCATATTCATAAATCAATTCCTAATCAAAGATGATTATTTCACAGTATTGATCAAAGATGTGCTGCTATTTAGATAAACATTTTATTTCTGTGTTTGAGAATTGTCTGTCCCCAGCAGTTCCAAATACCCCTTTAACTAGTACTTCATTACTACTCCCCATGTCAGCTTCTTCATTACCTCACCAAAAACTAGTATCTGGCAAATGGCTAAAAATACTTCTTTTGTTTGTTTGTTTTACTGCATAGCATTAGGATTCTTCCAAATCATTTTTGACATTCCAGGTCAAGGGATAAAAACCTGATCAGCTGTTGGCTAAAAATTAACCATTCCAGTTAACAGACTTAAAATACTCATCCATGACAGATGTAGCCTAAAATAGAGGTGGTATCAGAAGGACCATAGAAGCACTTAATTTCCAACCTTGTTTATTTCAAATATAAAATAAGCATTTAGCAACAACTTTTGCTTCTCTTTCCTTGACCGGATCCTGACACCTTAGGAGTAAAAACCAGTAATTCCTTGGACTATGTGCCTGACTTAAGTAAATCTCTTGAAAACTAAAGACTGACCACCTGTTTCCTGTGGGTGGAACAAGGAAAATGGTTAGAGATGACAATGTTTCTACTGTTTCTTTAGAAGAAATACAAGCTTAAAAGAGACATAATTGACTGTGGAAGCTTATTGATACTGCTGAAATTAAAGTCACTATAAAATAGCAAAAAACCCCCCAACCTATCTCCATGTATGTTTTCATTTCGAACAGGCACTTAGGTCTTAAAAGTAGCAGAAAATTCTGAGGGGGGTAAATCAGTGGGGACTCTATCAAGTTGTTTGAAGATTTTATGTATGCTACAACTGCAGCCCTCAAAATACGTTGCACAAGAGAAACGAGAAGTTGCTTACTGGAGTAGCCCGTCTGCCGGACCACCCGGGAGCACATCTGAAATGACGATAGATGTTTCACCATTCTCAAAATGGGGGTTATCTCTGCCACCAGAAACTGCAATCCCAAATCCTCGTTTTGAATCCTTTAATAAGAAAAAAAAAAAACAATAAGATTAATTTCCATTCACAGGTGTTCTGGTAGGGAGAAAGAATCAGAGTAACAGAAATGTTCCAGAGATGGCACTCTAGTTATAATTATTTGGGGAAAAAAAAAAAAAAGACAGCTGTGTGCAGAGCTCCAGAAATACATTACGTCTATAGATTTAAAAAAGAAAGGAGTTTTATAAATCATGCAACCAGAAGATATATGCTGCTGTCCTCAAACCTCAAGCAGCTGATGGTTAACAATTTCAGAAGGGACTCACTAACTCGGTCTACATTGTGCCCCGCCATCCCTTTGGTTATTCACACCAAATCAACTGTTGAATAGATGGTTCTACCTYGTGGGTGACGCTTGAGACACTGGAGCAGTTCTTCTAGAATCTCAGGTTCATTATAATTGCTATCCACTTTATAATCACTACTTACTCCCCAAACATACTTATACAAAAACTCCAGCTAATTACCAAAAGCAAGCAGTGAGCTTGTGGAAGGTCTATAATTATCCTCACTCACAAGTGAGTATTTTCACTAAGTAACCGATGTTAAACCTGTCTTCACAGAAATGTCGGATACCTCAAATCCTTATGCTTGGCGTTCATAAAATCAGGGAATAGAGGAAGAGGGTGGGACGGAAAAATGTTTCTAATGTTGTGGCTACCGCTGATATGTTAGCACAACTGAACTGCAGACAAGGTAGTGTGAACATATTTAGCTAAAAAAGCAGGTTTAATACTATCATTGACTTCATGCAGCCAGTTCCACGTCCTACAGATGAAACTTTAAAACTACATTTAAAGAAAGTACTTTTAACACAGTGACACAGACACAAACACTGCAGTGCTACCTGCACTCTCACAGTGGTGCTTCTTGCCCAGCTCCCACTCACCACGTGTATCCCATAACCTGCTCGTCTGCATTCCACTAAAATCAACACTGTGCGGTTATTTCTCTGGGTAGGGAAAAGCAACACAGTTACTTGAAACAGTGTCCCACTTGCTAAGCCTTAGTTATACAGGAGGGAGACGGATTCTTCAAGCCTCAAGCTAATGTTTTCTAGCTTCAAGCTTGAAAGAGCTTCTTGTCTTCAAGCTTCTTGTCTTGTCTTCAAGCTTCTTGTCTTCAAGCTTCAAACTAATGTTTTCAAGCTAATGTCTTCTAGCTTCAAGCTAATGTTTTTTTTAAAAAAAAACTTTATTTGTCCACAGACATAACTTGTCCATATTATATGTCTAACTCCCCTTTGCCACTCTGGTAGTGCAGGTCTGCCAGTGAGGTAAGCCGTAGTGCTCACATTACAGGTGCACATCACAGTACAAAATATTCAAGATTAGGAAAATTAGGAAATAACAAGAACTAATGACTATTTCTGCAATCCTTCTATTGCCTGACTCTAATCTTAAAAAAACATCTTTCTCAACAATTCAGCACACAAAAAGGGTTGTGTACGAAAACTGACTGTTCCACATTTGGTCACCACCTTGAAAGCAACAGATCCACCTCAGCTTCCCTTAGATCAAGTGCTAAAAGTAGCAGATGTATTTTATACAATGGTTGCAGATGTATTTTATAAATAATGATGACAGTAATTTCCTAGTAGATTCCAGATTCCACATTGGTAGATGAGAGAGTATAACAAAAAAAAAAAAAAAATAATAATCAGCAGAAACATGTTCAGTAATGATTATAAAGCTCTGATATTAATCAAAACCTCATAACAGAGCCATCTGCTTTGTCATTAAGGTTATTCAATGCTGAATTTAGTTACACAGCTAGTACACACTGTATTAGGCTGTCATTACAAAGACCAAACAGTAGCAAATATAGCATATAAATGATTAAGTTAATTTATGCTAACACTGAAGAGCCAYGCAGCTGTATGAGCAACTAGCAATTAAGCTTTAAAATGAACCACATATCTGATTTGGACAGTTTACTAATCATATTTTAGACTCAAAGTTGCTAATTACATCCTTTGGAAAACATACTTAAGACTAAAATATTCCGTGCTTGAATATTTTAAAACTAAAAATATAACAGGCACTCACCTTTTGTAAGGTCACAGTGTACTGTTCCCATATCAGCTCTTCCATGCCTGGGGCCTGTTACACACAAAAGCCAATTAGCAAGACAGAAAGCACACAACTATTCAATCTAAAACATGAGATATTACACCAAAACACAGACATAAAAATAATACATATAATAATCTAATCATTTGGTAGTCAGAATAAAATGTAGGTACTTCAGTTAATAATGTTCCTTAAAAAGGGTGAGAAAAATACTAACCATTTCTAGGGTAGTAGCACCCTTAGAATTTCACTAATTGGAAGTTCAGTTCAGCCCCATTTTCAGGAAAAGCCTCATTCAGTAAAAGCATTCCAGTGAGACTGCATTAGCATTATATAGCCCTGACTCAAATGAAAGCCTCCCCTTCCCAATGCACACCGAATTMAGTAGTTAAGCCTCAAGTCTTCAAAACCAAAGAGCTTTTGCATCTTTTCCATTACGTTCACATGAATCCAACAAAATATTAAATCCACTCTGGACMACATTACTCAGTATTTAGATTCCCTTGAACAAAATTGATTTTATAGAAAACAACAGTGTGCATAACACGTTCAGATGCATTTCTCTTTCTCASAAAGTCACTCTCTTTACACGGAGAGTTTCACCTTTCTGGGTAGAAAACTAATCCTGAACTGACCAGTTTATCTTAATATATCCTGAAATCTTTCCAATCTCACAGCTTAAAATATAATACACAATAATCACCCAGCTGTGGTCAATCACACAGTACACAGCCACCCTTGAGCATTTGGCCTACAAAAAGGGGAAAAAAATGAACTGTGATATCTGATACTGTACAAACATCTCAAGATGGGAAGCACCCATTTACAGAAGGATAAAAACCACACATTGTGTGGGTACATGGGGGCCACACTCAAACCACGGGTTTATTTAACTGCCAGAAGTGGGTTTCTTTCCCACTTTAACTGCTAAAAGTGGGAAAGTTAAGAGTTTGCACAATAAAAGCCAYAGAACCACAGATGGGCTTTTCAAAGGGATAAGCAGCAACAACAGATAGGGAAGCAGCAGGCAGGAGTGTTGTCTTGTATTTTGAAGCACCCCTGTTTTTCCAAGCAAAACAAGTATTTTCTGGCTGTTCACAACCACCAGGCAAGCTGTTGTTGCTGTTTCTTGCATGMAAAGTACTCTGTGACATACACTTGACCCTCATGGACTCTGGGCATCCCAAAAGGAATTGCACATACATTTTCCACTGCAGAGTCACCAAAACAAAAAAAGAAACAAAACCCAAAGTGAGAGTCCTGCTTAGCACTCCTAAGTGAATACCCGGGGTATTCGGCATACTGATGGGGAAACCTATAGCACAGAAACTCACCAACACATTGATACTGCTCTTTTCCCGTGCAGAAATATGCTTCTTGAGCCAGTTAAAAAATGAGTTTTAACAGGTCGGAGAAGAAGTAGTTACTGAAATTAACACAAGCAAGTAGTTGTAAAGGTTTGTAACATTTTTTAGACGGGATGTAAATGGGTAACATTTGTAATTGTTATTAAAATACAGATATCTTGGGTCAGTGAATTACTCTGTTGTAGTGCTGCTACTCGCCCAGTGCTAGTGAGATATATAACTGTTCACCCGGGTGTGAAGCACCTCACCACGCTTGTGTGATCAGGGGATCCCTGCTAAATAAAACACTTTCCCCTTCGCTATATGTTTTCTTTGGGCCACAGCACACAGTGATGCGGTGGCAAATAAAAGTGACTAAGCTTGCTTGTCTGTCATGTACAGTTTACCTACTGCTGACCCCTGGCTGTACCATCACTGTCCTACTTTCCTTCATGATATTTTTAAGCTTTGCAGAAAACCAGTCTGTGCAGAAGGGCCTCGGTGTCATTGCGGTTCCAGTTGATGGCACGGAGCAGGGCTTCGGAAAAGGAAGAAAGGCTCCAAACGGTGGGCAGAGCGAGAGGACAAGCGCCTGGTCTCAAACTGTGACATAAAATGAGACCGAGGGAGGCACTACCGATAAAGACACTGTGTGTGGATCTATGATGCAGAACAATGAAGCTAGCAGAGATTTCCTTCTAGAAAGACGGGCATCCCATGAAGAATGGCGAGTGAAACCTTGTGCATGATGAGGCACCCCCGTGCAGCAAAGCACCGCATCTTAAACTAACAAAGCGGAGCTTATTTTGCTCTGAGGGGTAAGTTGTGTTCCACCAGATCACAAAAATAAGAAGCTGAAAGAAAACACTGCCTGAAGACACTGCAACAGAGTCATGCAAGATGCTGAACCTACAGCATCACCTCAGCTTTGCCCAGGTCCCTGCAGCACCAGCGACTGCCTCAGGCACCTCCGRCCCAAATCTGAGTTTATTTTTAACTTGTTATTAGTGAATATTCAATAAAAGCTAATCAAATATTTCCACTTTAAACTCCTAAACACTGGTTAAAGTAATGCATTTTTAGAAACTGCTTCTTAGGGAAGCTGCTTCCCAGTCCATGCATGCTATATTAGCAAATGAAAGCACACTGTGTGCTTGCAAAGCTCATTTTCTACAACCAGGGCAAAAGAGACTTTCCTGCCACACTGGTRGAATTATGCAGGCTATGTAACACAGTTCAGGGAGCTGAACGGTCACCTTGGTAGCCCATAAGGCACWAAACACATCTGTACTCCCTTAAATCTCCAAGTAATAATCTCTTTAACATTATAAAATGTACTGCTGCTTGCCACCGCTGAGATACTAACCCATTCTGACAGATTAACGGGGAGGAGAAGATTGAGGGGGAGGGAGAGACTACAAATGTTATAAACCACTGTGTGAAGACTTGAGCAAAACTAAAATTAAAGCCTCCACCACAGTAAATAATATCCTGCCATAACAGCACTCCAGAGCTCATACCATGCCTTTCCTCCACATGCATCAAGTGATGGATTACAAAGAGCCTCGCTCACGCCTGCCAGTTTCCTCACGCTGCATCCGCAGGGAAGCACAGAGGGATCCTGAGCATTCTGCACATCCCTGGCAGGACCACAACAGCTGAAGGGGAAAACCAGAACACCGGGAATGGAGAGGCAGGCAACACGGTTAGGAAACCACAGCCAGTTGCTAAGAGCAAACATTTGCATGCCTACCTGTGTTATATGCCGATAGCAGCCCAGCTGCAGTAAACGCAAATTACCTGCAATTAGCCAGTCTAAATTCATCGATGACAAAAGTCAGTCCACCCTAATTAAACACCGTAGTTGCAATATGCTTCAGTCTGACTAATGCACATATACAAAAATGAGGGGTGCTTTTTGTGTACCCAAAATAGACTTTTAATAGGGTCTCTGGCAGAAAACGACTCAGGCCCTGCAGTCATTTCTGCGTTAGGAAGAGGCAGCTGTTGCAACTCCCACTGACAGTCATGAAGACATTTATGCAATTACTTGCTACTGGGAGATATCCGAGTTCATCCGCACTAAAACACATAAAAACAAAATCAGACAGCCTGCCACAAGCTGCAACAGTGAGTTAGAGAGAAGGAGACACATTTATATACATACCTATAGATGCACACACACACACACACACACACACACACACACACAAACACACACAGAACAAGACAGTGGGGGGAACAGCATGACTTGGAGCAAGAGGCAACAAAAAGCAACTCACATGTCCTTTTAAAATCCTCAACTTTTTCACTGCATGTGACCACATTCTCTGCAGAGCTTGAGCTGTCTTCATTGTTGCCAGATATAATCTGTTAGGGAATGCTGAACATCCCAGTCTTTTCATCTGTTTCCACCACTCAACACGGTTATGTAATTCTAATACAATAGTGTCCTACATACTCAAATAAATCCTGCTGTCAGTTTCACACAGGAACACATGAAAACCACAGTCAAGAAATCTGTGAATAGTTAAACTAACTCTCACTTTAAGACATAGCAGAAAAAAAAAACCAGAATAACCCTAAATAATAATAAAAATAAAAAGGTGTTGGAAACAGATTAATATGCAGCAAGTTATTCTTATTCCAAGCACATATTGGTCTCCCTGCCACCAGGAACCTATCTGAAACTCTAAAGAACAAAAGGGTTCAGATGCAAACTGAAGATTATTTGAAAATTCATGTTCTAATGATAATACTTACCAGTAAAACTCATCACTTGACTCCATTATTGTATTTTATGCTACAGTCTGGCAACTTCTATCAAATTTTAACAATTCAACTGCTGAATCCAGGAAATTCTTACACAGAAGTAACTGTACACATATAAGTAGTTCCTTTAACTACATGTGAAAAATTATGTACAAATGCTTGCAAAACTTGGCCTTGGTTCCATACATAACAACACAACAGCTGCAAAGACCAGTACTCCCTAAGCCCTCAAATATTTGATAAGATATCCATAACAGCGACAATATTTAATAAGATATCCATAACAGCGACAAGTTTATCACATAGCCATACAGATGACTCTACAGGAAAATGTGTCGAGTTATCATTCCCATTCACACGCACCACAAATGCTGCAAACTTTAAGACCTAATCAAAATTTTCCCCAGACTTTATATAAGCAAACTTCATCAAGAGCTTAAAACATCAAACAGGTAAGAACATACACCACGTTCTGCACATGWTGCTAAGCAGAGAAACTACCTGCAGATTTCTTTTTTTTTCTTTTAATTTACAAAGAAAAACAGATTTTTTTTCAGATTTTTGCTGAACAGACTGAACATAGGGCCTTTGCTTTAACCGTGACCATGAGACCTCTCGTTTTTCTCTGCAGTAGCCATGAGAAACAGGGAGAAGCCACTGGTGTGAGTGCTGGAGCTCAGAACAGTCACATTCACAGTTTCTGAAGAGGCTGGGGGTTATTTTGGCCAAGCAGGAGGAAGCAAAAGCAAAAGCAAGGACACATTTTAGGCCTGTGCCCTTGCCGTGGCTCCCCCATTCTCTCCCCTCCCTAAGCTTCAGTAACAATCCAAACCAGAGAAACATGACAAAAAACAAACTGTGATGGCACTGACAGCAAAAGTGGTGACTCCCTGTCCATGAGCTTAAGTGCCT